AAAATAATAAAAAATGGCAGAGGGGCTTTCTTTTTTCTTCCAATCAGTGGTGTGTTGGTATGGAGTTGCATCAAACAAAGGGCAAATTGAAAAGTCAAGGTTGCGCTCTTCTTTGGAAAGCAAAGGCTGTTATTCCATATCCTAGCCTATCCAACTAGTCATTGCATTGATTAGAGAGGACAAAACTAGTCATTGCTTCGTTGTATTGATGACATTGGAAGGGGCTAGAAGAGCTAGGGGCAGGACAAAAAGAAGTTATCATTATGCAATATGTTTTATCTTTGATTTTTTCCAACTCTCTTTGTATGCTAGGGAATCTCTCCCTCTTCTTCCCTCCTTTAATGAAAGTTCTTACCTTTCAAAAAAAATAATAATAATAATAAAGAACATGGGTTGAAGTAGCGAGTAATGATTTATTTAAGAGCCCATAATTTAACAATGGATATGGTACCGAGCAGGACAGCATGCCAAACAGGACTCATGTAGCTGACCCTGTATAGTTGGGCTTGGGACAAGGCTCAGATGATAATGATGATGATTCCTACCAAGTAATATTGTTTCTTGAATAGGGAGACGACAGGATGCCTACTGGGGTAGGAGATGAAAAAGGGAATCTGTTAGCTATGTATTCTAGTCCAATTAGGGTGGGGGATTCCTTGAGGGTTGAAATACTAGGAGCTCTTGAAGGGGTACAAAGGGTCAAAGACATGCATATTAAGAAATTGATCATAGAAGGTGATTCTGAAATTATAGTGAACTGGTTAAAAGAGGGCAATTCCAAGCTCTGGAACTACAGCAATGAAAAGAGGAAATTTAAGTGGCTGACTAAGGACATTGAAGTTAGTTGTACATGGGTAAAGAGAAGTGCAAACTCATTGGCATCTATTTTTTGGGCTATTTTGTAATTGATTTACGGTTTGGGTGTACATTGATGTATTAGGGAGTTAAGATTCTTTAGCTCCTTAGCTATGTAATTTCTCAATCTTTAATAAAATTCACTGTTATTGGTAAAAAAAAATGAAAAGACATACTTTGGGATTCACATGTCAAAATCAATTGAATGATGTGTGAGAGGATCTGAAATCTAATGGATTATGATATTTGGGCTGTAGTATAAGCCCAACCAACAATCATCAATTGAGTTATAACCCATGTTGAGTTGTGGTCTGTAATAATGATGACATTGAGTTTGAAAATTCAACATGTGTAGGCATTTTTTGGGTCTTTTGGCCAATAACACAAGTACTGGTTTTTTTGGGTCTTAAGTAGAAGTGTAGAACTTAGTTATCCTTCATCGAACCCTATAAATCCCCTAAATTCTAGTTCCAGTTACAAGATTTTTTGATGAATAGTTCCAGTCACAAGATTGGTTCTCTCAGTTTCAGTTTCAGTCACAATATTTGGTTTTCATGCCATTTGAAACCTGAAACACAGGGATCCATCCAACCATTAGAACCTCCTAGTTCTGAACCTAGATTCTCAAATTTACGTATGCGTTTACTCGATGTTTGTCTACCTAAACTTTTCTGTAATTGCATAGTGACCCTTAAATCTGCATCGCTTGATTAACAGGATTGGTATCTTCAACTGTAGTTGCCTTACATCAATATTTCTAGACAGCTTTGTTTCTGTGCTTCATAAATTATAGGTGCTTAATTTCAGTATTATTTTTTTAGGGGGCTTTTGCACCTATATCCCTCAGTTTCTATTATATCTCAAACATTATCTAGACTATATGCAGTGATTCCTTGATGTCAAACAACATTTACTACTATTATTACTTTATGGTTGAAGAATTTCAAATGTTTCTTGTTTAGAGATATTATTGCCTTTTTTCTTGCTGCATAAAATATAGTGGAGTGTTAGGGTATTGTTTTTGAGAATAACAATGTTATTTCTATACCATATAATAAAAAAAAATGGTCATGTTTCTCTTAGTATGGTTGTCAGACCCTGATTCCACTTTCACTTTTCACCCTTTACATTTTCTATTTTTCCATTGCAAAATATGTCATAAATGGCACCTCCCAATGTGGACCCATCAACATTTAGAAAAACAATAGGGCCCCACTTTGGAATTGGGACACAGGCCAGCACTTTTGAGTTTCAAACTTCCCTAAACTAAAAGCAAGTGATCATGTGCCCCTTGTTTATGTTAGCAAAGTCCATCTTCCTTACCCGTCTTAGTCACCATGTGGCAGACTGATGGGTCCAGTGTTTTAAAATCGCAAGGCATACACCTTTTTGAAACAAGGAACAAATTAAAAAAATAAAAATGAATAAATTAGGAAACTATTAAAAATAGTGTTAACTAGAAAAATCAAACTTTAGTTTTAAACTAAATGTTTTAAAAAATTCTATTAGCTCAAATTTAAATATATAAACATAACATATAGAACATGTTCAAAGTGAATAATGCAAAAATAAAACAAAAAATAGCATATAAAACACATTCAAGCATGTCAAACTTTTAATTTCTTTATTTCTTTCCCAATTGCATTGTTTCAAATAGTTAATGTGATGTTACATCTTTCATTCCTAATTCTACAAGCCCCTTGAGGTAAGCCCAAACAAGTCCATATTAGGGACTTAAAATTCTTAATCCTTAAAAATGATTATAATTTTAATTATCTTTTAAAAATATATTTTATTAGGATGAATGAATGAACAACATTAGCAAATAGGGGGTTCCTGGAGCTTTGGTGAGTGAGCAAACCTAGGTGAGGGGCATAGTTTAAAATGCACATCGCTTGTGCACCTAGGCACACCTTTTAAATCACTGGGTGGGCCCACCATAGACAGCTTTCCAGGAATAAAAATAGATCCACTGTTAATTGATTGAGGGGGTCCCTGAGCCCAAAATAAGCATAGGTAGAAATTGGATATAGAGGTGAGGGTGGGCCTTGGCACAATGGTTGGGTTGCTTCAATGTGACCTGGGTGACCAGGGTTCAAATCTTCTGAACAGCCTCTCCGTATGTGTAGGGGTAAGGCTGTATACATCTGTCCCTCCCCAGATCCCGCATTGGTGGGGTCCTTGTGCACTGGGCTGCCCTTTTTAGAGCTTAGATATAGAGGTGAAAAGTTGACCTAAATGGTATTTTTTCCAATCATTTCTAAAGTTTTTTTTTTTTTTTGGTATTTGGTGATACACACTACTAATAACACCCTCCCCAAAGTCGGTGGTTGCGGGAATCGAATCCGCATCTATGCTGGAGCGAACCAGCTAACATACCAACTGAGCCACCCCTTAGTTGGCAGAAGTTTATGCTGAAGTTTATAATGTTTACGAAACAGGTATGAATAATTATGGAATATGCAAGAATCCCAATATTTGAATTAGGACCAGTATTTTATTCGAAAAAGTCAATAATAGATGAGAAGAATGTAACTTTTACAACATTTAATCACTTTGTATTTGAAAAATGTTCATTTTTCTGTTATTTAATGTGCAATTATGCATAAAATCATTTTTGAGTAATTGTTTGTTTATTTTGATTATACACTTAAACTATAGGAATCCATAAACTATATTTTATGTGCAATTATGCTTAAAATCATTTTTGAGTAATGGTTTGTTTTTGTATTTTTTTTCCAATCATTTCTGAAGTTTATAATGTTTTTTTTTTGGTATTTGGTGATACACACCACTAATAACCCCCTCCCCAAAGTTAGTGGTTGCGGGAAATGAATCTGCGTCTATGCTGGAGCGAACCAGCTAACATACCAACTGAGCCACCCCTCAGTTGGCAGAAGTCTATGCTGAAGTTTATAATGTTTAGGAAACAAGTATGAATAACTATGGAATATGCAAGAATTCCAAGAGTTGAATTAGGAGGATGGATAATTTATTCAGAAAAGCCAGTAAAAAAGTCAGAAGAATGTAACTTTTTTACAACATTTAATCACTTTGTATTTGAAAAATGTTCATTTTTCTGTTATTTTATGTGCAATTATGCATAAAATCATTTTTGAGTAATTGGTTGTTTTTTGATTATACACTTGAACTATAGGAATCCATAGATATTCCTACTTTTAATTTAATTATATCTAGCTACTTTATGGATAGTATTTGTATTTTAGAAAACTTGTGCCATATCTCAGTAAATGGCAGACAACAACACTTTTTAATGATTAAGATTGATGTCTCTGACTTAAAGCACACCTCTATCTTTTATTACTTTTAATTATTTATCCATGGGATATACAAGCACGCCTCTAGGCTAGTCATCTATTGCCATTTTGCTCATAAGGTCTCTATTGAAAGATTGTCCAACGAAAATTTTAAAGTTTACAATCAATGAAACCAATATTATCATTTTTGTTCCACAAAACATCTTGAATCCACTGGTTAAGAGCGCCCCATCATGTGAGAGGCCCTTACTAAGATGCAACCTTATAGAGAATTAGAGATTAGGGACTCCATGTTTCAGATTCTAATAAATCCAAAGTCTACCCATGTTAAGCGATTGTTGCGTTTCTCCTCCCCAGCAATTCCTTATTCTTCTACCATTCATGGTCAGTATTAGATTTTCAATGCAAAGAAGTTTGCCCAATTAGGTAAATTTCCATCCCATTTTTATCTTGTTGATGCATAGTCGTGCAGATCCCAAGAGCCATTCTCAAACTCAAACTCCAACAGTTATGACCATTCTTGGTGCTGTCTGATGGTGAGCCTGGAAGATATGTATTTCATCTTTATATCTAATCGTCATACAGATGCCCATTTGCAGTGGCTGGTTCTGTACACATACGTGCCTATAATTCTGCAAAGTTGATGATCTAAGATAAAATAATATAGGAAAGAATACATAGATTAATTGTTCTCAAATCAAATCCAGGAGGATTTCAGGGATGTAATGATCAGTAGTTCTAATCAAATATGATGCATCACATCTCACTACTTTTTTTATTAGATTTCTAAAAGGAATATCTTTAATTTATATGAGCTATTTCACTTTGTTTTCTTATCTCTTTAATATTGGCACATTTGAATTGCAGACACGTCCACATGCAACTGTCGAGGTGGAAATATCAGAAGACATGCAATTGGTGCATTTTGACTTCAATAGGTAAATTTACCATTCAATCATGCAAATAAGTTGGCGTCTACTTTATCTTGATTGATTTAAGTTTCAGAATGTGTGATATGGTAAACATAGTGAATATTAGTGCACCTTCACCGAGTCAGCTCAAACCTTTAGTTGCCCAGCTGGTTTTTTATCAATATTTCAGTTTTCTAACTAGAGTTGGACATCTTCTGATGATCTTTCTTTGATCTAAACCCTTATTGCAGCACACCTTTTGAGCTACATGATGATTTTTATGTCCTCAAGGCAATGAAATTTTGTGAAAGACCACAGGGGGATGATGGTGCAGATGACTCTACTGCAAACGGAGGCGAGGGTTCGAGCATGCTTGGCATGTATCAAGCCCACATACCACATCCCACAAGGTCAAATGCTGCTGGTAGGCCTCTCACCTCGCCCCCTCTTCCAGGAATACTAAAAGCGCGTGTCAAACATGAACAATAATCTTTATATTTCAAGTTTAATCATCTTACCATGGGCAATCATCTCTCCTTTCCTTTCCTGTATAGTGTGTAAAGTAATTGGCTGAAAGGGGTGGAGCCTTCGTGGCCCATGCCGCTTCAATGGATTGCTTAACCAGTATTAAGTTTTGAAGGAAACAAGCAAACCATTCCCATGTTCTTCGAGACCTCTCTGGGGGCTCCAATCGAGCAGTATTCTGATCTAGAAATCCATGATTCACCTAATGTAACTTTCCAATCATATATTCGTAAATTCTTTTTGCAGTTTTTCCTGATGTAATTGTAGAAACAATTTGAGGAACAAGCTACTGTATCAGAGCATGAATTCGAGTCCCTCGATAAATCTCAGGCACTCGATAAACAATTGTAGAAACAATGCATCAATGCCCACCATGACCACTGCTTTCATGTCCAGTCGTTGATTTTGTCCTTCCATTATTGCTACGGTTGAGAAGGTCCGTGTTTCTCTGGTTCAGAATTCAACACGAACATCTATCCAGTGCCAAAAATTTTAATATGCCAATTCCATAAAACAAGTGGCTAGTAGACTCTATGGCATGAACTCTGCCTGCAAGAGTCCAACCTATACTTGATAAATAAATGTACTATTTGGAACTATTTGTCTATAATCCAGAACAAAGAACAAAGAAATACAACAAAAGTTTGGTCAAATAAATGTAATAGGCTAATTTTGAACGTGAGCATGTATAAAGTACAAAGAAATATATTTAAAATTTTTAAAATATATAATTAGAAGTTCTCTAAGTTTTTAGTCCCTTATTGTGAACAAGGTTCATAATTTTGATACAATACACCCCTATCTTTTAGTATACAATGCACCTATTTTAAGGTATTTTTAAGAAACTTTGTTTTAATAATTAGAGCACATAAAAATAGGCCCCCTCTGAAATTTTGAAATAACAAACAGCAAAATCCCAAGGGTGTTTTTTTTTTATTGTGAAAGCATAAATTATTTGCATATCCTTTGTTCTTTTTTTGAATTATTTGAGTAATGTTCCATAAATTGGAATATATATATATATATATATACAAGTTGGGGTGTTTTCATTTAAATATTGTCAATACACCTGTATTATATGCAAATTTGCCAACTATGCTGCAGGCTGCAGCCCACCTACTGTAATGTTGTCCATGGAATGACTGAGGGAGCCATGCTTGGTTGTCTCCATTTGCATGTTAGAATGATGGGATGTAATCTTAAAAGTTAGAATTACAACTGGAGCTGCATCTCATGTCTTTGCATCAGACTGCTGCATCACGTGCTAGCAAACCAGTCAAATTGCCAACTTGGCCGCTGCGGTGGTGGTTCATAAAACATATGAGATTGTGAGGCTGAAATTTCCTAGCTAGCCAATATCTTGCTGAAAGTCGTGGCCAAATATGAGGCCTGGGTGTTCTCTGGGTGGTGGGTCAGTCATGGTGGGGTTTTCTTTTTCTTTTTTGTTAAGAGATTCGTCTTAGGGGAATGATTTTTTGGTCCTGTTCTTTTTCTAGAGTCATTGTATCCCTTCACATAACGTCAAAAGACAATTATTCTCAAATCTCAGTAGGATGTAAATAGACCATGATTTCTATATTTTTCCCGAGCTTGTAGTTCAAACATCAAAGATTCTTTACTACTTTATTAAGGGAAATTAGGGGTGAGCATATTTAATTTGAAACCCAATAAATAAATAAAATTTTCGGTTTGGGTTTTTCAGTTTGGTTATTCCAGTTTTAGGGTTTTTCAGCTATTGCTTTTGGTTCTCAGATTTTAAAATTGGGTTATATTTGGTATTTCTTCAATTTAGTTTTCGTTTGGTTTTTCATTTAGAATTTCAGTTAATTCAGTTATTGAACAAATCATAAACCAAATGCTCATCCCTAAGGGCAATTGCCTAGAGTGATGGCTTAAATTAGGCATGTGCATGTATCACAGGATTCAAAATGGGAATAATCTTTTGAGTAAATTACAAAGATCCCCCCTGTACTACGGGGTCAGTGACAAAGATTCCTATACTTTGTTTTGCAATAAAGACCTCCTGAACTTTGGCCGTTAGACAAACACCCCTTTCATTAACTTTCTGTCAGTTAATTTCAAAAAAAAGTTCTTGTTTAAAATTTTCTAAAAGCCCAAATTATCTTTTTTAAATTTATAAAATCATCTTTATTTTTTTAGCACCTTGGAGACCAAAGTGACGCCGCACAATCTTCTCCAGGCACAACGTGGAACTGCCGCAAAACACTGGCACCACCTACTTCATCTGCAAGAAGAAGACAGATCTGATTTGTGTTGGCAATGGGTAAGACATAGGCAGGTGGTTGACGATGAAGAAGAAGACATAGAAAAATCGGATTTCAGAAACGAAGCTGCACGAGTTCATGAAGGATTTCAGAACAGTGGTCGTTCTAAAAGGTAGGGGTGCTCACGGTTGGGTTAATCGAACCGTAGGCTAATTTTTGAAATTGAACTAGGGTTATCGGTTTTTGGAAAACCAGTAACCGAAACTGAACCAAAGCCAATTGGTTAACTGGTTGATCGGTTTGGTTGACCATCGGTTCGGTTTGTTGGTTTTTTATTATTTATAATATTTATTATATAAATATATGATAAAATACTAGAAATATATATATAATATTATATTTTAAATAATAAATAATATATTATATATTATAGATATATAATACATATTTATTAATTTATAATGTACAAAAAATATATAATATAACATATATATAAATATATGTATACCGGTCGGTTCAATTAACTGCTGGTTTTCTATTTTAGTTAATCAAAACCAAACTGACCGATTTAATTAACCAAATTTTCGATTTGGTTTCGATCGATTCAATTTTTAGGTTTTTTTTCTCACTCCTACTAAAAGGTGTGAATAACCTTCACCAACAATTTATAACCGATGGGCTACTGTAGAGCAGCCCCTCCTCCGTGGACGGGAATAAGGGAAGCTCTTCCCTCTTTATATTTGAAAACAAAGGTAAAATTAATTGAAAATATGGCATTTCATCTCTGTTTTTACTGACATTCAACATGTTTTTGCAGAGTTGTAATGGTTTTTATATTCTGCAACAATATTCTTTTCTGAATTATTTTAGTTGGTTTCCTTCGATGGCAGGTTTGGGTTGGTCCCTAGTCAAAGCCTCCAAGGTATTTGATTTGGGTCTGATTTCTTACTGATTCATTTTTTTTAAACTCTTATTTTTTATGGGTAGTTCAGTTTTTGGAGTTTCTGAACTCGGTATTCATGATTTGTGAGCATCTTCGAGCATCCGAGGTAAGAATTTGAAGCAAAACTGAGGGAATAATGAGCAACAACGCTCCTTTTTTATTGAACAGTTGAGGTTGTGAATGAGGGAACGGATTTTTTTGTTTTAGGGTTTGTTGATGATTCCGTTACAAATCATGTATAGGTTTTCTTACCTTTTCTTTCCTTCAAACCAAACATAGCTTTAAAGAATATATATATTGGCATTTCCTAGCTTTCGATTTGATGGTGTTTGCTAGTTATCTTTCAAAGAATGGTAGGAATGTATGCTCAAATAATGTCTTTGTGAAGTTCTAAAGTGGCTCTTCATCACTAGATTGGGGGATGGATCGCCGGAGCTGGTTATTTTAGGGTCAATTAGGTTTTAAGAGAGAATGACAAAAAAAAAAGATAGAGAAAGTTTAGTGGGATATTTTGATAATTTAACGCCTTCTGTTATCTGATTTAACGGTCGAGGGGGGGTTTTTGTCTACTGGACAAAGTTCAGGGGGGTCTTTGTAATTTGCTCTAATCTTTTAGACTAAAAACACTTCAAGTTTCAAGAATTGAAGTAGGGCATCCCTGACAGTGGCGGAATAAGGATTTTTATTGAGGAGGAGGGGGCAAAAACTAGCAAGCATGGAGGGGAGGGGGCAAAAGCTAGTAAACATAGGTAGGGGGGCCAAAATCTAAGAGGAATTTAAATGAGTATTATGGGAATTTTCAAGGCATAGGGGGCCAAAATTTCGGGGAAGGTGTTTCAAAAGTGGTCAAATGTCTTAAATCCCCTTATTTAGAATTTAGATGGGTTAAAAGTCGATACATATCATACAATACACATCAATTCATTGCAATATTTTGAACCTTGTAATGAAGAATTTAGTGGCGCCTTACTTAATTAGAAGCCCGCTGTAGTTGTACAGTACTTGTGGGGATGAATAATCTGAGAGTGTTTTCCTCCTCTTGGACATGATCACAGGCTAGACCATATGAAGTCTTGAAAGAAGCAGTATATACATACCATACTAGTTGGAAGATGGGGTTAGGGACACTATCGCTTTTAATTAATATAGAAAACGATTGTTTGTTGTTTAGATGTTCTTGTTGTTCCATTAAGAGACATTCCAACCAAATATTCTCTTACCTACTTAAAGCTGGTTATTAAGTGATGATTTGAGTTCTATACTGCTGACTAGAGAGAGTGGGGTGGGGGTGGGAAGGGTGAAGATTGTGACTTTTTTTTTTTTTTGAAAATGGGTTCTGGCAAATAATGCCGTTTGATATTGAATTATTGGTCCAAAGAGAGAGAGAGAGAGAGAGAGAGAGGGTGTGGGAAGAAGATGATGGTTGTGAATTGGTCCCGGTTTTGTGTCATTTTCCCCATCTTCTGCTCACTGGATAAGTTTGGTTTGGTTGTTCAAACAAAGCTGTCTATAGTACAAAACAGTTAGCAATGGATGAGATGAACGCCTTAGTTGTGTGGCGGGCTGTGGAATTACTAGCATGGTTTTCAAAATCGGACTAGAGCAGATGGTTGGACTGGAAAAATTAGGAATTGATCAGGTAATCGGTTTCATTTCACTCTAAAACTATTTTTTGGCCAAAAACTATTGATTTGTTCAATAACCCACTGACTTGGATGATCGAACCATCGATCTAGACAATAGTTTTGGTCAGTTTTTATTTTTTTTTGTTTTTTATTTTTATGTCAGAATGGATCCTCTGTTCGAATAAACGATCAGACTGTTGACCTGGGAACTGATCCTCATAATCCAATTTTAAAATCTTTGCATACCAATGATACAATATATATAACTCACATTAAAAGATTGAATGATTGTAAGCCCATGTATTTTATGACTGCTGTGGAGCATCAGCATTATGATTTATTCCAGAGCCTGAACAGCTTTCGCGTTCAGCAAATTCCTGGATAAACTAAGATTTGATGTTAGAAAGCCTTGCCAGCCGATGTAGACATGAGTATGACAAACTACCACCTGATTGACACTTCTGATCTTATATTCAACCAGAGGGATCGAGTGGACCAACTCTCACCTCAAATGGTTGTATTAATCAACAATATTTGTATTGATGTTTCAGCCTTTATCTTTCTCTCTTTTTTTTTTCTTATGTTGACAAAATGAGAACTTA